GACTGGATGATCTTATAGGTCGTTTCCAACCTTAGTGATTCTGTGATTCTGTGATATCCTCTTTCTGGAATTGTTTGGGCTACATCAGAGACAAAAACAGCATTAATTTAGGTTCAGTTAGTCCCACTAGGTGGAAATCAAAACAATGATTAGTATACTGAATGTAGTTTCAGTAGGAAATAAGAGTATAAAGATGCAACTAGTTTTATAGTAGAAGTTGGCTGTTCTATGTAAGAATTTCCTGTATATCCTTCACCATTGTAGCATATATTGGACTGCTAAAGCATAATCCTAGAATCAGAATGGTTTGGATTGGAAGGGACGCTTAAGATCATCTAGTTTCAACCCCCCTGCTGTAGGCATGGATGCCTTCCTCTAAACCAGGTTGCTCACAGCCCCATTCAGGAAGGGGATATCCCAACCTCACTGTGCAACCTGTTCCAGTTGTCTCACCACACTCAAAGTAAAGAACTTCTCTAAATCTACCCTCTTCTACTTTAAAGCCAATTTCCCCTTGTCCTGGGGCTTTGTGCCATTACACTAAGTCCCTCCCTAGCTCTCCTGTAGCCCCCTTTGCTTTCCAACTCTTATTTACTGCAAGCATATTAAAATTAAACATGCATTCCAAAAGATTTTTTAAAAAACAAAGTTTTATTAAACAAATGTGTTCTAAAGACCTCTATGAAAGAATCTTCTGTTGTACATAAAGGTTCTTATTTCCAGTACTAAATAAAGCATGTAAGCAAATACAACTCAGAAATAATAGCTGAATAGTAACTGAAACAGCCACAGTCAAATGAAATAATCAGTAGAAAAGCATCTCACAAACAATGTAAAAATGGGATAACATCTGCATACTAAACACATTATTTAGAGAGGAATAAATAATCCAAATTCATTGTCTGATATGCAGAAGCCAGGAATTCTACTCTGCTTCATAACAGGTAGAAAAAAACCAGCAGTAAATTCCACACCTACACATTTGTTCTGACAACTTAGTAATGAAGGCAACATTGGTCTATTTTTCAATACTAAAGCAGATACCTTTAGAATTATATTTAAAAAAACCTGCAACTTCAAGTACGGATGAAGCAAAGTAGTTTAGGTAGATTTCCATATTGATAGAAGATGTTTAATAGCATTAAACAGCCATCTCCATCTTAATAGGTGGATGAGGGTTATAATCTTCAATCTGAAAGTCTTCTGCCTTAAAGTCACTGATGTCTTCGACCTTACGAAGGATTTTGAGTTTGGGTAAAGGTCTGGGGTCCCTTTGAAGCTAAAAATAAAAGCATGTCCTACGTTAATTGCACAAAAGTAATAAATACTTAAGAGATAGGGACTTTGTGTTATAAATTAGATCTCATTAATCTAAATTCAGATTTCCCCAAGAAGGCATAAAAAAAATAATTACAATACGGTTTGACATAATCTACTTTAGTATTTTGATTAGGTGCAGCAGCATCCAAATGCACTGTGAGCAGTCTGAGTTTGCAGAGCTATTTTAGTGGATGCAAATTAGATTCCTTCCAGACGAAACTAAATTGGAAATTCTGATGAAGATGTGCATCAAATGTGCTGCAATTTCTCACAGGAACATTAGGGCCCAATCCAATAGCTAGTTCTCTGGGTGGTTTTGAGCTCTGTGAATGGTGAGGATACTCAATCCAACTAAAATTCTTATTTTCTTCTCCTGCACTAAATTACTTCCTGAAGAAAATACAGCCTTACCTAAGCAAACTGATTAACTAATTTGAATTGACGAGTTATCTTGTCCCGATATACCTAAAAAGACATTTTATAATAATACTATAAGACATGTGTTCACCCTCTTGGGCAGAATGATTTTCTAAAATTCTGTAACGACAAAGTCAAAAATAGGGGTATGGACTCAAGGTCTCTAACTTAGTTCTAGAATAGTCCATTTTGATCTGGAGGAGCATACAGATGTTCACTTCAGTCATGTTTGTTACAAACAAAAATAAATACAAATTCTACATAGGTTAAAGACCAGTTCAGGAAATGCAATTTTTAGGGCAGAAATGTGGAAAAAAAAGCCATGCAAATTAGTATCTGGAAAACAGTGCATACAATAATGAGACAATTTGGTATTTGATGAGCACTGTGGAAAATAAAGTACAAGAACACAAAACGAGTACTTACTTGAACTTTAAGAGGCTCCACATGATTCAGATATATGTGAGCATCTCCTAAGGTGTGTATGAATTCTCCAGGCTGAAAAAAAAAGGAGAATACGCGATAGCTACAGTGACTGAACAAACACTACAGGTCTGCTCATCCATTGGAAACAGATGCGGCAGTGGATCCAGCTTAGTTTCACTTCTCATACGTATTACTTGCTCAAGTTGTTTCAAACTAGCAACTTTAGCCACTGTAAACAATGTAGATTATGGAAGCAGAGGTGTCAATCACAAGATAAACCCCAAAGCACTTCAAGAGCATTCAAATACGGTTTGCATACTCGCAAGTTCTGCGACTTTAGGAATTCCTAAACAATCTAGCTTTTCTATATATATATATGTGTGTGTGTGTGTGTGTGTGTATGCAAGATCCTGAACAGCACACTCACTTCATGGTTTAGTGGCTTGTGGTAGCCATGGTAATGGGAGGACGGTTGGACTAGATGACCTTGTAGGTCCTTTCCAACCTTGTGATTCTATGATTTCAGTTTATCCTGAACATGACACCAGAGTCTTTTAGTCCTTCACTCTTCAGATAGTATTAAATAAAATGATTAAATAGCCTACCTTCAGCCCTGTGACATGGGCAATCATGTACGTGAGCAGCGAATAGCTGGCAATATTGAAAGGCACTCCTAATCCCATATCTCCAGACCTCTGATACAGTTGGCAAGACAGTTCACCATTTAGAACATAGAACTGGCAAAGAGCATGGCAAGGTGGCAAAGCCATCAGAGAAATATCTAAGAATTACAATACAGGAAGAAGGGGGTGGGGGGAGAAGAAATCAAAACTGCGTTAGTGTCATAAACTTAGAAAATGCAAAAACTGAACAAGAACAGTGAGAGATACAGCAGGTAGTGCAGCTTGATATTGCTATCATTCTGTTGCTTCTTCTCTTTAAACAAGAGAGCACCTGCTGCCTAAGCAATTAAGACTGGGTCATGACAAGCTGTCTCCTGAGCTTTATGATCAGAAAAGTCATAAACAGATATTCTATAGAACAGATTTGTGCCATAATGCTGCACAGCAGTTTAGCCTTACTCACCTAGGGGAGCCAATTTATTTCCCTTAAGGGAAGACTTTGAGAGCAAAATTAAGCATGTATCCTAAAGCAACTTACAACTGCTTTATCTTACTCACTTCTCACACTGCAATGCAACTTTATTGCTTGTTGAGATTTAAAACTGACTAATCATTGATAAATAAATTCAGAAAATAAAATACGAGTGTTTACACTTAAAGTGAAGATAGTAAATTTACAGCTAGTTTAAGTAAAACATGAACTCACTCCTGATATGTGAGGATGTTTAGCCTTAAAAATAGCAGCAGCAGCATGTGGAATCCCCTTTCAGAGACACTAGAAGAAAATGTGGGGGGATTATTTTTTTTTTTAGTGTATGGATCTACTGCTGCTAAAGTAAAACAACCACTAGCACTAGCTCTTATTTAGAAATAATCCTACAAAGTGAACAGGTTAATACATGCCCAAGAAGAATGACTGCAAGTTCTATGTTTTTTTCTAAGTTTACTATTTAATATGTGGCTAAAAAAAAAAAAATCTAACAACAACAACATTGCTTTGGTATACTTATTTTTGTTGTTTTTTAGCCTTGTCAACATAAGAACTTCTGTCTCTGAACATATATGAGTATGTCAAAAGGCACTGGTAGCCATGTATACCCCTCACTTTAATCTGGAAATAAAAACTTGGAAGTAAGTTGAAAAGTTTTGAGGTTTGAGCATGAGAATTAAGCAGAAAGAGAACGGACAACCCCTGACCACTTTTACTGCACTCAGTGACCTACATTTCTGGTAGTTTTATAAAGAATAAGGAAAGGCAGTAACATGGAACTGATGCTGACACAGTACTTAGAATACAGTCTATATATTTTATAACATTCCCTTAAAGTGCATGGTTCAGTACCTTTGGGATTCCAAGCACACATGATGATTCTTCTGTCATCTGGATTGGTTTTGATCATCTCAATCACTTTTTGTAACTGATCAACTCCTTGGTTGGAATAATCTGAAGAAAGATACCAAATATGATCTAAGTCAGATTCACATTATCTATTTTTAAAGCCCAGCCCACAGCCCACTGGAAAGTGATACTCTCATGACAGCCTCTGAAGATTTTATTGAAACTTTGAAGGCAACTAAATTTATCTGTTGGTACTCACGAAGCATAGGTTATGCTTGGTCTTTCTTCAGCTGCTCTAAGGCTTGTGAAGTTCTCATTACTGTATTAGAATATGTCCAACTGCCTCTTTTGAGTGCTTCCACTACCTTTAGCATCCACTGAAATTGGACGATTCCTATCTAAAAAGTTTTCTTCTAAGCATCAAAAACTAGAAGTCTGCACTAACACTACATCCCAGGAAACAAAGGTTGTGATACAAGTATATTAATGGTACAAAATGTGTTATGATGATGAACGATGACATTCATGATACCTAAAAAGGACAAAGCTGTATTGGAATGTGCAACAGATATTAACATCTCATATTCATGTTTTTTAAAGTAATTCTCCCAGTCTGTTTTCTGTAGTACATGCCTTTGTCTCGAATTTACATGCTATAGTACTCCTACTCAAAAAAAAAAAAAATCAAAAATGACATCCAGACCAGTAACACAGAATGCCATGCATTCTTTGAATGCTTAAAAGAAGAAAGATTTTGACAAGTAAATACATACATCTATCTAGCACTCACCAAGGTCATTCATGAAAACTAAATTTCCGAAACACTTGGAGCCAGAAGGCACAGGATATTACAATTCACCCAGTGACCCTTGCTGGCTGATTTTAGGCTCGATGTCAATTATAGAGAAATTCACTGGAGTTAACAGCAGAATGGATACTAGAATAAAAAGAGCCATTACTTGTTATTCGTTATTCTGACCCATGCCAGTGAATTAGCATGGCTGGTAACTAATTTTTTCTAATAACTCTTCTTGCAACCCAACACCAAATTCCAATTATAGAGAAAGAGACCCAAGCTGGTTGGCAAACAACATGGTAATATACCAGCAGCACTGAGCCAGAAGCTTTTTCAAATGGTTTTATTAGATCCTGAAGATAATTACTCATGCATTAGTAGTGCAACATAACAAAATTAGCAATGGAAATTTATCTCATCTATTTTTCTGTACTACACAGTAACTCAGATCTTTTAAGTTAGGAAAGCTAAAACATTTTACTAAGTTTTTACATTTGTTAGTTCACAGTTTGCACCACTTATGTTAGGGTAAAACTGTACTCTGCCAGTAGTCAATATGCCAATACTAAGTACAGTATCTGTAACTAATGTCAACTTTGAGAACATATCGACAAAAAAATACAAGAGGAAAAAATAAATCGTATTCTATCAGATGCACCAGATGCATATATATGTGTGTGTGTATATATATATATATATTTTTTTTTTGACTCTTCTTTTAATGACAGTCCTAAGTTGTTTTTTTTTTGACATCTTCTCCTTCAACAATTTAGAAGGAACCACCCAAATACTTCAAAGTAAGTTTAATGAATCAGTTCCACTGAAAATAATAGAAACTGCATCATGTTGTAGTTCATTACAGCTATTCTATCTACAGCATCATCCTGCTTTGTTCCAACTGTAAAACAGAAAAACCTCACAACCTCACCACATTGTGGCCTTCCAATACTTGAAGGGAGCATATAAACAGGAGAGGGAATGGCTGTTTACCACTGTGGACAGTGATAGGACAAGGGGCAATGGTTTTAAACTGAGACAAGGGAGGTTTAGGTTAGATACTAGGAGGGAGTTTTTCACACAGAGGGTGGTGAGGCACTGGAACAGGTTGCCCAAGGAGGTTGTGGATGCCCCATCCCTGGAGGCATTCAAGGCCAGGCTGGATGTGGCTCTGGGCAGCCTGGTCTGCTGGTTGGTGACCCTGCACACAGCAGGGGGTTGAAAGTAGATGATCACTGTGGTCCTTTTCAACCCAGGCATTCTATGATTCTATGATTTCTTTTCCACAATGTCCCATGAACATACGGAACTAACACCACTTCCTGCCAGCACAAGTGCATCATGGAATTAACGTTACTTCATCGTGGAATTAGCATCCTTTGTTGGCATTCAGAGAGTGCAGTCTTTGTTCTGTCACTGAGCTAGCTTATGGTTCTGGACTGCAGTACAGAAACGCATCTCTCCATCTACCGGTGACCATATCATCTCTACATTAAAGTAAAAATAATGTATGTTGCATATTACATTATGTATGATTCCTCTGTTCTATAAATACCAAATTATCACATACAAAACTAAATCTTTCAGAATAATTAGACTCAGCTAATTAAAAAGCATAAAGCAAAATTCACCCTCAGATTACACATTCTTGTTTTCATTCCACAGTGTGAACAGTCCTCTTAACAACAGACCAACCCACCCACAGACTTCTGGAAGTGAGGTTGCAGTCATCCCACCAAGCAGTCAAGGCTGCATATGTCATTACCTGTGTGCATGTCTTTGTATTCTGCTCCAAAGTGCCTCCATTGGAAACCATAAACCGGCCCTAAGTCTCCCTCTTCTCTGGTGCAAAACCCCTGCTTATCCAGGAACTCACGTGATCCATTGGCATCCCAAATCTTCACACCCTTTGCAGAGAGCTCTTTGGCATTTGTAGAACCCTACAAAATACAGACAGTACGAAGTTTACCTTCTAATCCCAGAACAGAGAACACGATTTGACGCAGACGCATTAAGCTTTGCTACTCAGCAGAATTTCTCCATTTTTAACATAAAGGATGGACAGTCTGATTAATGTACTTGATGCTGTTCTCGCACTTGGACAAAACAAATCTTCTAAGTATCTTACTGGACTTCTGAGGAGCCAAGCTGCTGTTGTTTAACTCACAAAAATTACAGTCTCAAGGTCACCTGCTGTATATAATTTCACATACACATCTACAGAGAACAAGATTTTACTCTTCAAATGGATAAAAGCAAAGTATGGCCTAGACAGTCTTTCCCAAGCCACCTCTAATGAAGTTAGTCTAAAAGTCCCTTTTGTTAACATGACAAAAATAAAAAATAGGGCAAAATGAACTAGAAAAGTTTCACTGAATTCTGCAGTGAGTGCCAATCAGCAAACTCAAAAATCCAACGTAACAAGTGTTCTGTTTGGGGTAGTGCACAGTCTTTTATCTTTGAAAAAAAGACACTTAAAAAAATATCTGGGTATGTGAGTCCTGTTATCTAGTAAACTGTTGTCTAGGTTTTCCCACACCAGCATGTTCTCAAAGAATTTCAAGGAACACTTGTACTGCAACATATTATCTACAGAATTTTAGTATTCTTAACTGCAGCAATTAGCCCTACTGGGTGTCATTTTTTACTTCTTAATAGACTAGTATTTACTTCAGTCTTACCGCACTTGTGGTTCCTCACTGCTTGCTTCTGTTCAAATCAATACAAGCTACCTATCTACCGAAAAGCTGATCATTAGACTGTTTGCAAATTACAATATTATTTCTTATGTAAACACTAATAAGAGACTCCACTAGGCTTTTTTAACAGCAAAAGCTCTCCCTGTACCAGACTGTTTCCCTTAAAAAGAAAGAGAAGAAAAAAATGTTCTGATTTTAAAATGCAATAGCATTCACTGAAATACATGGAATGTTTTGAAAACAAGTCTTGTACACATGGGCTGTTCTGCTGTAGGAACAGAAGCACCTGCATTCACACCCAATTCCTTAACCCATTTCACACCAGTACATCAGATTGATGCCATTCTCAGGCCTACTACTAATAGAGCCATCCAGATACGGCACCTTGATAAACCACAGCAGCTCCTCCAGCACTCCTTTCCAGAACACTCTCTTTGTTGTCAGCAGTGGGAACTGATCTGAAAAACAGTTACAAGGTGACAGAGATGATCAGAGATTTGTTGGGATGAAAACAGATAATCCAAGGGGTTAGAAGGGATATCTGGAGATCACCTATTCCAACCCCCAGTTAAAGGTTCCCTATGGTAGATTACACAGGAAAGCACCCAGGTTGGGTTTGAATACCTCCAGAGGAGACTCACCACCCCTCTGGGTAGCCTGTTCCAGTGCTGTCAAACACAGACTAATGCATGTTTTTCTCATGTTCAGATGGAACTTCCTGTGTTCCAGTTTGTGCCCACTGCCCCTTGTTTTGTCACCAGGCACTGCTTATAAGAGCCTGATCCCCACTGCCCAAATAACTGACGTTTTTCCACACACAGAAGGCAATGCCCCTGTCTGACACAGAGGTTTGCTGTTGGGAAGGGACGTGTCATGCTCTTACTGGGACCAACGCTGACAGGCACACTGCAGTGATAGATGGAGGTGAGGACTTACACGTGGACAGCACAACAGGGCTGCAGAACTATGTGCAACGGGAAGCAGAGCCTTAAGGTAAAATTATAAGGATCTATTGCACTGACGGCTCTTCCTACACCTGCACAGCAGGTTACCTCACGACGCCCCCTGCTTACTTTATCACGAGATGAGAGCAGACCCACAACCACCGCCTGCTCCTTCCCGCAATGCAGAAGACATCGCGGGGGACGCCGAGCCGCCGCAGCACGGGGAAGGAAGGCCGGCCCCGCTCCTGCAGCGGGGCGGCAGAAGATGGCGGCCGAGCCCCGGGGCGAAAAGACGGCCCCCGGGGGGAACGGGGGCGAGCAGGACAGGAACTGAGGGGGCTGCGGGCAGCTCCCGGGGCAGCCGGCAGCCGGAGGGACCGCGGGTCCCGGAGGTGCCGACCTCTCAGACTGTACCGCGCCTGCATGCCGAAGACGGAGATGGTGCCGGTGCCCGTGCGGTCCTCCTTTCGGTGGCCGTGCTGCAGGATGTGCCGGACCTGCTGCAGGTACTGCGGCTCGCCGCCCTCCAGGCCGCTCGACGGCTCCTCCGCGGCCGGCATGGCGAGCAGGAGGCGGTCCGCGCGGCCGGGCGCGCTCCTGCTGTCCGCCCGTGCCCCTGCTGTCCGCCCGTCCCCGCCGAGCCCGCCAAAACCCTTCCTTCCTTCCCGCGCAGAAGCGGGCTGCCGCCTCCCTCTCCTCTCCGCCCCCTCCGGGAGGCACCGTACGCACCGCCTTCTGCTGAGGGCGGGACCGCGGCCGCCCGTTGTCTGCTCCTCGTCGCCTTAGGCGAGGTGTGAGGGCTGCAAGGGCAGTGGGGCAGTATGGCGGCGGAGCCTATGGTATTAACGTTTATAAAGATGGGTGCTAACATCGTGCGTCTCATACACTTAGCTAAACGCTTTCTTGGCACACAGAGGACTCACAAAGCCTACGCTCAGAGCTCGTGGCAGCCCGTCTTCCTAAAAATACCTGCCTGAAGTGAACGTCTCTGTAAGTTGGGCTAAGGACGGTGCAGGCAAAACAGGAAGAAAAAACACCAGTTCTCCTGCGAGGCTGATATTTTCAGACAGCAAATGCAGCTGTGGGGAGGGGGTTCTGAGATAAGTATGGAAGAATCTAGCTTCCACTTGGCTGCCTGACCAATGAAGAGATTCTGAATGTTGCTTCATCAGTCACACAATCACAGAATTGTAGGGGTTGGAAGGGATCATCCTGTCCAAGCCTCTGCTAAAGCAGGTTCCCCACAGTAGGTTGCACAGGAAAGCATCCAGGTGAGTCTTGAATATTTCCAGAGAAGGAGACTCCACAGCCCCGCTGGTCAGCCTGTTCCCGTGCTTCATCACCCACAAAGTGAAGAGGCTCTTCTTCATGTTTTTATGGAACTTCCTGTGTTCCAGTCTGTGCCCATTGCCCCTTGTCCTGTCACTGCACATCACTGGCAAGAGCCTGGCCCCATTCACTTGACTCCCACCCATTACATATTTATAAACTGTGATGAGGTTCCTCTCTGTCTTCTCTTCTCCAGGCTAGGCATCCCCAGGTCTCTCAGCCGTTCCTCACAGGCAGATGATTCAGGCCCCTCATCATCTTTGTAGCCCTCCCCTGGGCCCTCTTTAGAACTTTCCTGTCTTTCTTGAACTGAGGATCCCACGTCCCCACTCAAGTTGGCCTACCTACAGTGTCACTCCTCTTGGGCTTTTACAGCTGCACACCTTTCATGCTGTACCTTCTCTCTAAGGGCACCACTCAGTGCTGGCTGTAGTTGAGTTTCACTTTGCCAGTATCCACTCCTTTCTCCTGTTTTTCAGCATAGTTTTTGTGTTCTGAATTTTGCCTTCTGCACAGCTCCTGATACAGCGTCATCTGAAGATTTTCAAGGTATATTCTCTCTGTTGGCCAAAACAGACCAGCTCTTCTCTGAATATTTCTTTGTATTAGTAGATCTTAGTAGTTAAGTGTTTGGTTGAGGTGCACATCTCTTAGATGGAGCCCGACTTTCTAACAACTGGTCTGATTCCAGGAGTTATGGCTGCTTAATCTCTCAAGATTATTGTTCTGTAATATAAAAGAAGTTGTAGGAACAGGAACTGTAGGCCAGAAAATGTTAATTTTTCCATACTGTAGACAGGAAAACGTATCATTTCCACTACTTAAAACAATTAAATTGCCATTTCCCTTTTGTCTCCTGTGTGGCTTTATACATTTTGAAATGCATACAGTTTATTTTGCAAAGATACAGTTGGAAATAGTGAAGTAAATGTGTGCAAAAATGTTCAATCACAGCCAATAAAACCAAAACACCTAGAGCTTTGCTTCTGAGAGTTGTATCTGTTCTTAGTGAATATAATTTGCAAATACCATGCAAGCTAAAGACAACAATGTAGGAAAAGACAAACATCTTTTCTGATAAAGGATTCCCTGTTAATTATGGCTCCAAAGGCAAACTACAAGTAAAGAGAGCTAAAGGCAGAAGACTTACTCATTTATGCATATTCAGAAAAGTCATTTAATGTGTGTTACAAACATCAAAAGCAACTGGAAGAAGAAACGGGGCATTTTCATTGGAAAATAATATGCTATATGCATATGGTAATCTGGTTGTTTCAGGCTTAGCTGAATACGCAATATCTTTAGGGAACAATTTTGAAAAGGCTTAAAAATTTGCCTGAATTTAAGTATGCAAATAGGAGTTATTTGCATCTTTACAGCTAATTATTTCCTTAAATCTTTGCATAACCGGAGCCATACGTGATTCCTCAAAGATCACCTAATATACAACATAAACAACATTTTATTTAAATAAATGTCTCTCAAAGTGGGCTTGAATTTGTATTTCAATTAAAAGATTGCTACAGTCATCAGTTGCTAGCTCATATGTCACGGTATTTATTAAGCAAAATTTTATTTATATGCAACTATTTTAACTGTAGTCATTTAACAAATAGCTGAACATTGAGTTTAGGAGTATTTCACCTAAGGAGAGTACATGGATTTCAGGGATTGAGATTTCCCACATCTTCGTTCCTAGGAGAAAAGAAAATAAATGATTAATTTTATTTTTTTTTTTTAAATAGAAAGATTTGGAAAAATCTGTATATGGGGAATGTACAAATATCCTGCTGTGGAAACATATATGACACATAAGAAAGACTGAAACAATTTTTTCTCTCTTTTTCCCTTCCTGTAGATCTTCCTTTTGTGGAGTTCCTGTTCTTTCCTTTTGTCATGCTTCCATGTATCCCAAATCTGTTGCACAAACAGAACAGAAAATGGTACTGCGATTTGGAAATAAGTGCTACCACCTTTTCTCAAGCATGAGAAAGAAGAAGAAGCATGAGAAAGAAGAACTGTTTGTGGGCGTTGGAGTCCACCAGATCTGCACATCTTGGAGACTTCCCTGGGACTTTGTGGCTAGCCCCATAGCAGTGTGATACCAGTAGCAACATGATGCCACTTAAAAACTCTGCTGCCTTTCCTGGAGTTTCTCCATGAGATTAGAGAATATTAAGTTTGTTCATTCTTGCAGCCTGTTTCTTCCCTCCCCAGTCTCTTAAGCATGGAGAGGGATCTCCATGAACCCTTCCTACAAAAATATTTAGAAGGCCATGGGAAAGATCTTTCTGTGAACACTCCTACAAGTCTAATTGAAGATTTCGTTAACAGTGTTAACACTGTTACTCTGAGTAGAGCATTGATAATGTGAAAATTTTATGGCAAAAACAGCTCTTTCAAATCATGATGTTGATTCAACATTGCAGCCCATTTTTTGTCAAAAATAATATGGAACATGCTATTAAACACAACCTAAAATTAAAGGAGAAAAAAGATGAGCAGTGGTAGTTCCATTTTATACTTGATTAATGAATGCAAAGACATGGTATCTGATGCCAAAGCTCTGGATTGTGGTTGTGAGGCAATTCTTTTCTGATGGAATATTTGTCATTAAATTACCTCATCCCAGATGTTACTTAAAGATTGAGGGTTTTCACAGTTAAATAAGTGAAGTCTTTTAATATCATAATGTCTGTGTTTTGCAGGCTAGAACACTGAGCATTTATTTTTGTTTTCTGTAACACTTGTGTTTGTCTTTCAATCAAAGCGTTGTTTCCAAAGAGACAGTCTTGAATATAGCATGACAGAATCCTGTTCCAACTAATGTTTATTGCAATGAAACGTCTCTTATGAAGAGCTGCATTCTCTGTGAAGCGAGAGAGAAAATTAACTTACCACTTAAAAATTCTGCTTATATAATTGCAGCGCTTTTCCAGCTATGTATTCGATGAATTCAGCACTCTTTGGGTCTAAGTGGGGAGGAACTTTAATGGTGAAAGTAGGTGAAGTCAAAATATTCACATCTACCACGGTTTCGTTTGTACCAGAGGCATCTCCAGGTACCACCTTGAAGAGAGCAAATCAGTACTTTAGCTCTACAAATAGCTGTGTGCTTTCAGTTTTGTTTATGGTTACTTTCATAAGGGAAAATTAAATAGAAAAATATTTTAATTTTGTCTACCTTCTTTAAATTACTTTCTTATGAAAAGACAGTGGATGCCTTGAATTTATGCCAAACCCTATTGTAAGTGGTGGGAAGATGTGATATGGCACTACAAGACCATGTTTAAAAACTGCAAGTTAATTTTTACACCACAAACTACATTTATAAAGAGCTTCTGATCGCTTACTGAAAACCTGTGTGTGAGTTGTTCTCACTGATTTCAAGAGGAGGTTTGCTTGACTGGAGTTACACATTCCTATGTGTTTTTCTAAACCAGACTTAGTTCTGTAGCTTTATTTTCCTGAGCAGATAGCTTAGACTTGCTTGGGAAAGTATGCTTAAATATTGCCTATTCCCATGTTCCTGATTTTGTGTTTTGTTTTGCTTTGTGGATTTTCATAAAGGTCTTGTAGTAATAGCAGTACACTGGATTTCTGAGTTGAAAGGGAGAATAGAATTTGTCCCCGGCCCAGTAAAATCAATTTAATTTACTTTGGATGTCTTCATGTGTGTGAGACGTAGATAATTGTGATGTATTTCAAGTCATATTGACAGCTGCTGCTTATGATATGCAGCTTCCACTGCAATAACCTGCATAGCATTTGCTTTCTTTGAGCTTTGATATATAGGTACAGACACAGACATGTAGCTATATATTCAGTGATCCAGTAAGGATGCATTGCTGGCTAGTACAGTGACATTTATCCAGGAAGGTAATCGGAGGCTTGTCAAAGCTGCTAGTGTCAATTTACTCTTGTCAGCGATGATTTGGGTTAGCCTGTCAGCCATCCACCTGACTAAAAGGATTTAGAGGAAAATAGTTTCTAATCTCTGGAGATTCAGCTCACTGAAGGATTATTAAGCTCATTGAGGGTTTATTAATACATTATTAATGTATATTCAAGATGGGATGAGGAGGGACTGTATCTTGTAAAACCAAAACTTACACGTATATGAACATCTACAATCCTCAAGAACACGCCTATGAGCAAGGCTTACATTTTGAAGACAGTACTGTGCAATAGGCCCCCTTAGTAGGTAACCCTTACCTTGACTATATTGAAAATATTTTCTGGTCCGATGGTCATATTGGATAACTCAGACACCCACCCAAATCTTCCTTTCATTTTGTTCAGCAAGTAGGAAGTGTCTTCTGTATGACGCTGAACCATCTGGAGAATCTGCTCATACTGCTCACCAGAGAGATTAACCAGCTTAAAGGCTTCATCAAACTTCATATGCAGTTCAGGAACATTGGGGCAATCTGTTTAAAAACACCAGCCAGTGTGAAGCTTATAGGAAAACAAGGTGTCTTGTACTTGCTCTTCTCCATATGAAGTACAGAAATATAGGTAAATTACAAAAAAGGTCTAGCAGTGGGGCATGTTTTTGAGTTCATGTTTAAACTATGCTAAACAAACAAACAAAAATTCTTGCTGACCTATTTTGGTAGGCTTAGTTTAGGCTTACAATGATTGAATGGATTAATTATCCTATTTGCTGTATTACAACATGCTAAGTTCTTTAAGGTTTGTACCATGTTGCTTGGCAATAGATCTTCAAGCATGCTAAAGAATCATAGAATAGCTTGGGTTGGAAGGGATCTCAAAGATCATCTGGTTCCAGCCCCCTGCCACAGGTAGGGATACCACCCACTAAATCAGTCATTAGATCAGGCTGCCCATGGCCCCACACAACCTGGCCTACAACACCTCCAGGGATGGGATGCCCACAACCTCTTTGGGCAGCCCGTTTCTGCATCTCACCACCCTCTCAATGAAAATTTTCCTCCTGAGATCTAATGTCAATTTTCCCCTCTTTTAGTTTAAAACCATTCCCCTTTGTCCTACACTGTTATGTGTAATACACAACTGTGGACAAAAAGATATTTTTAGTGAGTTGGAAATGGTCCAACACTCTTTCCAAAATGTCACTGGATGATTAACATCTGCCACGCTGGAGATATTCTGATATCTGGGTTTAAGCATTTTCTGTGACTTTTAAGACATAAATAACTCTCGATACACTGGAATGTTATGCTACAGCAGGAGTCCTGAGAGTATTTCTAGGTATTGCAGTCTGAATTTTTTCCAGCTGCCCATGTTGTCTGCAGGAGAAATCAGCATCAGGAATGGTGACTTCTCCTCACTTTCTGCTCAGTGCTTCTGCACCAGGCAGGATCAATTGCTGCCTCACCTCTTGCTCTGCTGGAGAATGGCAAGTCTAACAATGTCTGTAGGTATTTTGTTATAGAGTATACAACTTTGGATCTCCATCAGTATGTTAACAACTGAGTTATACTGACACTGTGTGGAGACAGCAGGGAAAGGTAATTGAAATCTTCTGGACGTTTTGAATTTATAATCACAGTAAAAAGTCTGTGTGACTGAATGTTAATTCCAAAAATATGGAAAGAGCACAGTAGAAGGTGACAGCCTGAAGGTGTACAAACCAATGGCCAACACGCTGCAGAAATACATCAGGAAATATCTATTTACCATGCAAAAGATTGTCTTGACATTTCTGACATCTCTCATGAAACTGTGTGCATCCAGAGGAATTCTCTCGAAGCTCTTTGCACAGAGTCCTTTGACGTCCTGACACAATTTTTGAGAACATGCCACCCCTGTCAGAACCTAGAACAAAATTACAGTATTTTTAGACTGTCATTAAGTTGAACATCTTGACAAATACATGTTTGTTACTTAATGTATGTGCCAAGCAAAAAATAGGAATTAAACTTCCAAAAGTAGAGGCTGGGAGAAGATGCAAACCATGTTTTCTTCCAATGAATTCATGTCACTATATAATTCCCTTATAAATGGTAGAGTATTCCCCACTGACAGCCAATTATTTTTTATTTCTATTTTTATTAATAAGATAGGAAAGATAAAGCTTATTTGCATTCTAAATGTTGACTGAGGATTGTTTCCCCCATTGAGAATTATCACCTGATACTGAAGTTATGCCCAGAATTTTCCTGGTTACTGGCAAATCACTTGGCTGATTTGTATGTGACTGGTACATGACATTGCTGTAGGAGCTTTAGGCAAGGCTTGCGGCTGTCAGGCAAGGGCAGGGATATGCCATGACATCTCACAGAATTTTTAGAGTCAGAGACATGTCAATATGATATGATATACAAGTCTTCCTGACAAATGCTGATATCAGACCTATCAGTCAACCTTTTGAAAACCTGCATCTCCTATGAATTCAAGAGAAACTCCTGCAGACACTTAGAGTAATGCTATGAAAATCAGACTGTGTAGGACACTGAAGTCACACTGCAGTATTTCTATGAGTTTTCTAGGTGATCTTTACCTTTTAATTTAACCATTGAATTTATGCTTAACCCATGCCTGTTTAACCAAGTAAGCCCCCGGAGCTCCCATACCGCATGTAAAATTAATGCACCACAGACTGAACCACTAGCCTTGGGTTAGCTGTCCTGAGAGGTTTGATGTCATTGACAGTGCAGTTGATTTTTATTTCCAACACTTGCCTTTGGCTTGTTCTGGCAAATCTCTTCTATTATCTTTGTATTCATCGAATACCTCAGTAATCACCTCACTGACACCTTCAAACACTGTCTTGCTGAAATCAAAGACTGTCTGCAGGAAGGCCGGTATACCCCAGTCTTTCTGTAAGCCGTCATTTCTGGTAGTGGCCTCGGGTAAAGCAGGCATGCTGGGGGATTCACTCAAATCCAGATCAGACATGAAATATGTTTGAAAGGATTGGTCAAATTCTTTTTGCATCTGTTTGAAAAATATGAAACTTCTGTCAAACACTGAGCCCATGTCTGATAACAGTTGGCTAAATAGATCTTCCATTTTTACTAGTTGAGTATCCTCTTTCTCAGGCTTTTCATTAGTCTGGATGTCTTTTCCTTGATCTTCATGAAAAGGGAAAATAAGTGGAGGTATTTTCCTCAAAAAATCTTCAACCTGCATATAAAAAAAAGATCAGCTGCTTGACAGTTTATAGAATCACAGAGTCATGGAGTCACAGAATCAAAGAATCATAGAATCATAGCATCATAGAATGGCTTGGATTGGAAGGGACCTCGAGGATCATGAATCTCCAACCCCCATGCTGCAGCAGGGTCTCCAACCTCCATATCTAATACTAGACCAGGCTACCCAGGGCCCCATCCAACCTGCACTTGAACACCTCCAGGGACGGGACATCCACAACCTCTCTGGGCACCTCACCATTCTCTTGGTAAAGAACTTCCCCCTGACATCCAACCTAAATCTTCCCTGCCTCAATTTAAAACCATTTCCCCTTGTACTGTTATTATCTATCCTTGTAAACAGTTGATTTCCCTCCTGTTTTTAGGCTCCCTTTAGGTACTGAAAGGCTACAATGAGGTCACCCCTCAGCCTTCTCTTCTCCAGGCTGAACAAGCCCAGCTCCCTCAGCCTTATCAGTTTTTCTTCTCTCAGAGAAGTAGCTCTAAACTTTTTTCAAGTACCTTTAGAAACAAGGGACTCTTTCAATAACCAGAATCACAGCATATTCTCCAAAGTAATTTAAGATGCTAGTGAAAGTTCATTTAGTCTAAATCATTAGATACAAATCTGATTTGGAGAAAAATTGGTTCAGTCTGTTGAGGCTCAACGTTAGTACTGGCTTCTGGGTTTTATCCAACAAACAGTTTGGACTTTATCTTGGAAACTTTTCTGCAGTAGTTTTGTGTCATGTAGAGAACAGAGGGCAATTGTTCTCACCATGACCTATAAACGCCCTTGTGTCTCACCAGTGGCCAAGTGCTCAAATTCCTCTGCAAACCGAAACCCATTAAAAGCAATAAAACAGTGTCTCTGAGTCCATGATTTGATGATGGAAGCTGAACAACAGTTCAGCTCTGGGAAGTTCCTGTTCCCTACACCTCAGCTGCTCATCCCTGCTTCACGCTGTGACACAGTGCCTTTGACTGAGCAGGTGCAGTGCTATGTGGAGCCACACTTTATGGCATTAGAAAGCCGGTAAGGGTTAAGAAACACTGTGCCAAATACATGTGTACATATATACCTGTACAGTGAGCTCACAGAGGAAGTTATCAATAGTGTCAAAGACAGTCACAGTTAAATCTTGTAATGATAATGTACCAGTCAGGAAAGCATACTTTCTAGTAGAACTGGGGAAATCTCCTCTGCTAATGGTTTCCTCTGTTGAAAACAGTGACACATTTTAAAGCCATCTTGTTACTTGAAGAATAGAAATAATATAAATATAGAAAAGTATGATGTGTAAGTAGGCGATTCCCCTCCCCAGTAAGTATTCCTAACTGGATCTACAGTTCTAACTCTACTGATTTTCTTGTGGAACATAAATAATCTATGCATTATTCACAATCAGCTATTGAGCATTATAGTGTAACTCCTACTGTGAGACACATCACTGTATATCTGGTGAGACTCCACAGAAGGGGAATGATCAGTATCCATGGTGTTGCACTAGGCTGCCCCAGAACTTGTTTTAGCTCTGTGTTCAATGAATGTAATTGACTATAGTCTGTGCTTTGTAACTTTGCATTTCCAGACCTTCCAAATTAAATTAGTTCTAGAAGTTGGTGTCAGTGACAGAGCTGGCCACTGAGAAAGTAAGCTGTGCTCTCTCTAAAACCAGTAGGTAAATTCAAGAATACTTGCCAGATAAAAAATTTCTTCTTACCTTGCTTCTAAATGTTGATAAGCCACGTCTGCAAGTCGTATAGAATCGCATGCAGGTACTTTCTAAGCAAGATTCACATTCATCCCATAAATTTTTCAAAGATACTTGGCATTGTCTTTCTTCTTCTTCTAATCTTTCCTTTACTTCATCCATAAGTCGCAAGGCTTCCTGAATAAGAAAAAAGATTCTGCTGATTGCAGTTTTCAGGTTAATACTGTGAACGTTAATTCCAGAGCTGATTGCTCATTTTTGTTATTTAATCCTTCACTACTGGGGTAGGATGTTTTCTCAGCTGCAATCACATACGGAGGAACTGAAAATTGAAAAGCTTTTCCTTACAGAGTCTTCCTGATGTTGTTCTCTCAACAGTATAGTGCAGCCTACATAACCAAACAGATCTCTGTGGCCTACCTGGATTTTTGAGGCTGTGAAAAAACCATGAGGTTTTCTGTGCAAAAGCATTCAAGCTCTCACAAGGTCAACGCAAGTCTTTCATCTCCATGTTGAGTATTCATCTGTTCCCCAAACAGTCCTTTTTGTTACTCTGCTCTGTTCTGCAAGGGTCTGTGATATTTCACAAAGCTAGGTCCTTACCATACATAAATTCCTTCTCTAATGCAGAAGTATTCAAAAGTACGTAACTCCATCTTTTGGGGATTACTCTAATGGAAAGGCTGTAGTGAGGGGATTTCTTCCCTCTGCTGCAGAAGCATAAGCAACAATTGCAATAAGCATTTTAGCATTGACTGGACAATGGAAAGACAGAAAACCTTCTAGTAAAAGTAGATTGCACATCATTAATTTCTTTCTTCCAGTGCAATATGTTTTAACACTTTATGTTTCCAAACAATATTCCAAGTTGTTCCCAAGCATGGCAGAAACCTTTTAATTCATCAGTTGTGTTCCTTTCTGGCAGTAATTCATTAAGAGAAAAGTCTCACAGAAAAGAAAACTTCTGTCAGAATGCTCTTGGTAGAGCTGGTAATTGTGATATTCATGGTCTGTGTTTAATTATTTCTGATCTTTCCAAATATACTTATTCAGTGTTTCATAAACTCTTACTGTGGGGATAAGTTCTGGGTAAATGAACTCATGCAGCAAGAACCAACAACAAACTGGATAATGGGAGTGTACCGGTGTTCCTAAAGTTAACAAGTTACCATGTGCTTTTTGATTTGATAATATGAACAGTTTGAACTAATCTCCAAGCTGGGCCATGATGGAATTTTCCTCTAAGTTCACTGGAACTAATAGTCAGTGCAGACTGAAAGCTTCAGTCAGAACTGGAGCCTTAGAATGCCATGTTCCTGCAAACACGCAAGCTGTTTCTTAAGAAATTGCAAAAGGTAAAACAATGTTCACTTTTTCAGAAATGTGAATCAAGGCTAGAAAAGAGTGTCTGTTGGCCCAGCTCCTGCTACAGGGACAAAGGCAGTGAGAACTCTGATAAAGCTGCTGTAAGATTTTTCTTCTGCTAGGGAGGGAAAGCAGAAGCTGGGATTTCCCATTACTCTTGGCTTTGCTACATGACTGCTCCTCAGAGTGTACATACAGTATGGTTTTCATTCTTCCCAGAAAAAGGGAGACTCCAAGGGAGTATACACATACTCTACCTCTTCAAGAAGGTGCACTAAAATCTATGTGCAACCTGCTTCATCTTGGATTAAAAGTAGGTGCAACTTTAAGAACAAGCAAACAAACAAACAAACAAATGAAAACAGATGCACTTGTTACCTGTTTTTCTTCACTGCTCTTCTTCAAAGTTTTCATCAGATCTATGTGCTTATCTTCATTTCTTTCCATCATAATTTTCATGTGCTTAATACCAATCAAAGCTTTCTTTACTTCTTCATCTACATATTTCTCCCCAACTTCAGATAAAGCTAAAAAAGCCAAATTATATAGCGAATTAATTCAATTTTAATACTAGCACAAATTCTCTATTCTCTAATGACAAAGTGAAACAGCTTTATGTTTCCCTACAACTGCAGAGCCAACTCATGGGATAGTGAATTCTGAATAACAGAGCCAAGACAATTTCCATCAGATAAGAATCTGGCCCAGAGCCGTGTCCAGTGATTAGCTGTGTGTAGCTCAGTCTATGTATTTAGCTATCCCATTTCTGATCTTTGAACCCCAGAATAGTTGAGATTGGAAGGCAACCCTGGAGATCACAGAGTTCAACTCCTTGCTCAGAGAAGGGTTAATGAGAGCAGGGTCAAGGAGAGCAGAATGCTCAGGGCCTCAGCCTGGGTTTTGGGAATCTCCTAAGATTGCTCATCAGTTCCTTAGTGACATAACCTATGTAGTTATTCTTAATCTGAAATCAATCAGTGACAGTTTTCACATAACATTTTGAAAATATGAATTACAGGAGTCTTCAACCTACTTTCCTAAAATATAATCTCTAGACTTCCTGTGAGATAATGGCCAAGTTTTGCTGAAAGGCAGGATGGTCTTCACAATGGACCTTGAGTCGCTGCCTGAGTGCAAATCCTTTATTTGTTCTCTTTGCAAAAGTGCTATGAATATTACTGGGGCTATAAAAACAACTAAAGTGCACATTACTTGCATGCACATGTGTCATTCATGTCTTCTGCTTTAGCCTTCTTTCTCTCTCTAGCATTTTATTTGTCACAGAAATATTTTTAAAACACATTGAAGCTAAGGAATATTTTATGGCTGATCCTCCTGGGATTCTGACCTACTCAATAAAGCCATGCTTCAAGGTGAGTATATGCATAACAGCTGTTTTTTTTCTTTATTGAGTCATTCTAGTGCAATTATTTCTAATAACTACATTTTATAGCTAAGCATAATAAAATGTAAAATCAATTGGTTTAATTGTTAGGTTTGATTTATACTCTAATGATCTACAATGGAGCAAATAACCTATTAAAACGTTGTAAACAGTTTCTGTAAGGGAGGCTCTGTTAATCCCTCTTAGTTTCTCATTTCAGATGTTATCTCCCAGTCAGATGTGTGGACACTTTCCTTCCACAAAAGTCAGCCCACACTTAAAAACAGAACCTCTTGACTCCAGTGAGCGTGGAAAGCAAAGCAAACCAGAGCAAGCCTCAGTGGAGACCTGGGCCTGAAGGCTTCCAGCACACCCCTGCATACTTACTCTTCAGGTTTTCCCGGAGATTCATTTCCTCCTGCCTGGTCGGTGCACACTGGTGACCATTCAGCCATAGCAAGTGTATTATAAATAACCAAGAGGACTTCATGTTCTTTCTGTTAAAGAAGCAAGTTGAAACAGTTAAATGTAAGCATCTTTATGTTTCTCAAATTCCTAGGTGCAGTTTTTACTAAGTATAATACAATCCTGTTATTTTTTTCTCAAATTATAACTTCTGAGATCTATAACATGCTCTTAAATGATACTCATAGTGAAAACACACGAGTAAGAAGCTGACCTCATTCATTACATTTCTATTAATAGATTAATTCTAAACAGATTTAAATAGATTCATTCTACTGAGTTTGGACGCTGGTGTAATAAAACCAGGACACAGATAAATAAAACTGCAGGCTTATAGAGCTCAGTCTCTCTCTTTCCTACCTTTCAAAACATGCTAAGTACTGCAATAAAATCCTTTCACTCTTTTTATCATTATTTTGGTTTACAAGTGTTTCTGTGCTAAACATTGCCGCCAGATTTAAAAAGGAAAATTTCTAGAATGTTGTTCCTACCAGTATCTCCAATATGCATTGTCCTTCAGGAAAATACTTAACATAGCAAAGGCAGTAATAATAGGTGCGCTAAGAAACCGGCAATTAGATCAGTTTTAAAAATAAACACATCAGAAATTAAAAGAAACTCCTGCAAAATCAGAGGAAGAGATGCCATTTATTTTATTTTCCTCCCAGAAACAGATTAATGAGAAAGATTTGTTTTTTTAGAAACCATTCAACTACAATTTATAGTTTTCATTCACTCATTGAGTGAAGACAGCATTTAAGTTCCTTTCTGCTAGCCAGTGCAGCCTTCCTGAAGATGCATATAGCAGCTGCAAATGCATATGTAAATTAAAAGCCTGCGCTTATTTATAGCCTGGATTTACTTATTTAGTCACTTGCACATTGTAAACTTACATTTATAGCGTAAGATTGATCAACTTTGCAAAGGAATACAAACCCCCTACAAAAGATAAGTAAAAAACCAACATATTTACCATTAATACTGAAACACCTCTTCTGCAAAATTGCTGCCTGCGTCGGGAAAGGCTGGGGCTGTGCTCTGATCTAATTGCTGGGAGTGACAGGGATTTTGCCATGTTCGACTTATCTGATGACAAGGTATTTAATCCTATTAGTGGTACATTCTGTCATTAGGCTGGGGCGTATTTGTGCGTATGGGACTTCATGCTCAGATGTGTGAGTAAAGCCACTAGGGGGAGCGTTGGATAGAATTACGTAATGAAACGCTGTACCTTGGTAGTCTTTTAGTCTTTTCAGATCTTTCATCATCTTGCCTGTTACCTTAGGAGGCATCTGCAGCTTATGTTCTTAGTGAGAATATTACAATTAGTTTCGCTAAAAATAGCTTCCAGCATTTAATCTTCAGTGTAGTTTATTTTGCTATAAGAAACAGTGGATTACGAAAAGGCCTTCTTCATATAACTTCTGAAGGTACAGAAATCAAAAGAATTGGGAAATCCAGGTACAGGCTGTCGTGCAAGTAGACTCAAAAATAAGATAAGCAAATTTTGGCATTTTGGACATCATTATACTTGCTCACATTTTGGTTTTTTTTTATTCTTCAGATAATCCATGTGTGTGAAATATGTCTGGGACCTGACCTGCACAAAGTCTTAAGTACTTTGAAATGAGATACTTAAGTATTAGCAGATGCTTGATATAAAATATGCACAAGTATTGTCACCAGGTTATATCCCACCTGTGATGTTCACCAATATTACCCCATTAAAGCAAAGGAGTAGACAGGGAATGTAGATGCCTATGGCTCATGCTCTGTAACATCAGTTTTAAAATAACCCCCCTTTTTTTAAATTTACCTCATAGTTCATAAGAGTCAGTTGATGACTGATGATCAAGATCCAACATGATTAGTTCTTCTTGGTCAGGAGGTGTATCAGGAATTGTAGATGACCTATTAGCACTTATGGAAACCAGAAGTCCTCAACTTGCATTACAATTTCCAATTGAAGCTGTTGGAATTTGTCTCACTTTCTGAAAATGACAGAGGGGAGGGGAATGTGTTTTTTGTTTTAATATGTATGAATTTATGGTTCACTGAAATGCTGCTGAATTCTTGAGCAAGATTCATTACTACACAAAATCTTTCAAGATCCCTTTTGTGACGATACACAAAGAAACTTAGGAAATTTCAACCTGAGGACAAAATTATCCAGAGCTAGTATGCCTAATAAAGTTAATCTTGAGCTTAAATTTAACTTTTGAAATGCACTTTGGAATTCATCACTGTTCTTTAAATGTAATTGCAAGTAGTGGTCATGCTAGAAATCTTTTCTGTTTCATTTCAATGTTGAACTTAATGAAACAGAAGTCTCAAAAAAAAAAAAAAAAAAAAATCAGATTACATATCAAATATCCACTCTATTTTCTTTTAATGTTTTAAATCTGATTTGCAATGACTCGTCGTGAATATCCACAATTTTAATGTTAGCTGATGTGTTCAGCTGTTTCCTCTTAACATTTTATTTTCCTCTAAATTTGAATGGATCAATCACCCATAGTGTGCCATTTCACCACATTATGGTACTGACATGTTTGGTTTTTTGCAATCAGATGATTTTTACAAGCAGATGATTCAGAACTCACTGCCATGGTTGCAGATTATGAGGTAGCCCTGTAACAGCTCTCATACAGGAGACAATCTGAAGGAGCTCTTATGAGCAAATGACAGAAAGTGTGTTTCTCTCCTGCCCAACTATTATTCCAGTATTCTTGTATTTTTATTGAAATTAATATGTATACATTGGAAAAAATAAGAAAATAACTTGAGAAGGGATTTCAGGAAAAATTGGCTTTTTGCAAGACACTGATAAATTCAAACTGAATAATTGTAGTGAGTCACACAGACACTAAACTTGAACCTAACTGAACTCTAGCAATGGAAATTGTAGCTGATTTCTGGAGTTTCCTTCTGTCCTACTGGATGACCTCCACAAATGTATAGCATTTTTTACAATGTACAGTGACTTCTCCCTTTTTTGTTGATCCATTCCACCTGGCAGGATTAAGAATCAAGAAATATGTTGAAATGGAATTTCCTGTGTTGTACTTCAGCTGTAGGATTTTGTTCCAGTTATATATTTATACAATTATTTGCTGTTTGGAAGAGTTGTTTTCTACTATGTCTGAGACAGGCCAGTCATATAACAATCAGACTGAGAATATGTGGACTTACATAGAGTACTTACAGACTCTATGAGTCATGCAAAGTGCTAAATCTCTTGATACTTTTATGAAATAGTCACCAGTTGTACAAAATCTTGACTAGTTTTGTTTGTAAGCACACCACTAGTTCCACTGCTTTCCATTGAAATTAAATCTTAATGGAGGCCTATTGTCTAATTATGTGGCTAATCTAAAGCAGGCTCAAAACTTTGTTAGAAGTTGGTATGGTTTTTAAGGCTATAGAAATTCAAATTTTTGTTTTGATTTGTTTTTAATCCTTTCCAGTACTTCAGGAGCCCTTAAGTGGTTTCTATTTCCCTGTGTATTTCAGAGGTGATTGGAGCCCTCCTTCAGTTTGTACTCAATCTGCCTTTGAGCTTTACCTGAGTAGCCAAAATGAGGATAAAAGGCCTGGAGAGAGAGAGACAGCTCCTGAGATGCTGTCAGTCATCCTCTGGCTCTGCACTGAGCTCAAAACAAACCAATTGAAGGCATGAAATCAGCGTGCATAGCTTGGTGCATCATGTTAAGCCATAGGTATCCAAACTGTTGGCTTGCCTGGGCCATTCTGAGTGAAGAGGATTTGTCATGGGCCACATATATGTAAGCACTCCAAAAGAAATGCCTCCCATTTATTTCCATGGAAACAACAAAAGATACAAAGAGCACAGTAACACTGATTGAACAGATTCTCAGCTATCAAACTTTATTTTCTAACACAGTCATCACCATTAGCTATGCATTTTTGCCAGCAATGAACAAGAGACTGCGTGGTGCGCTTGTAAAAATCTGTACCAGCGGAGGTGATTCACTGTTGCTCTTGTCACTGCTGAAATGCACTACCTATGCCTCACCATGCTCACATCCACTCGTTGGACTCCATGAACATTCAGTAAGCACTGACAAATGTCAGTAGGTGCCATTTTTTCAGCAATGGAGGAGTTCAGTGACACGCCTTTGCTTCATATGTACTTCCATGTCAGACACCATTCTGTCAGACTGCCCCTCTGCTACCATCTGTCACACAGCAACAACATCTAATGGAAGGCTGGCAGGAAGGTTTAACCTCTACTGCCATAACACCAACATCTGCCTCTAACACTGTGGGCAAACATAAAATGGGAGACATTACTTTCCGATCAACTCTCATTAAACATACAAGAAGGTTAATGTATTGAAGGTAACAAAACTTACTTTAATTTTAATAAAACATATAAAGAAACAAAACCATAAAACTTGTGAGATATATGACCTTATAGAAAACAAGGTTGGAAACGACCTGCAAGATCATCTAGTCCAACTGCCTTCCCCCACAGCACCCCGTGCCCAGGTTTCAGCACAGAAGGGGCTCACAGCACACAGGTTTGGTTGGTGTTGAAGGCCAGGCCGCTTGGTGGGAAGAGCTGCCGCCATGATGGTGTGAGGCAGGGGCAGCCACGCTGCCAGCTGGGCTGCGCTGCATGTGGGCCTCAGGTTGGACATGGTTGCACTTCAATATGTCTTTATGTTGAACCGCTAAGCTACAGCTTTTGAGCTCAGAGGAATCATCCTAATGATGTTTTATGTGCTTTAAAATCATAGAACCATAGCATATCCTAACTTGGAAGGGATCCATAAGGATCACCGAGTCCAACTCTTGGCTCTGTACAGGAGCCAAAATCCACCGCCCAAAATCCGAACTCAATGTCTGACAGTGTCCGAATAGTCCTTGAATGCATGAGTCTCTTCGGATTTCCCTTTGGTTGCCTATCCTTGGTCACTCAGGAAGACTGTTCGGTGTGGAAAAATCTTCCTTTGCTGCTGATTTCTTTCCCAGGCCCTCCAGGACTTTGACACAAAGCTCCAAATGCCAGCAGTAAAGTGCCATCTGTTGTTCACAGAGGTGTGCAAAGTTTTTTAACGTCTTATCCAAAGATAGTACACAGAAAGAAGGGATCTATTGTGCCAACAAAGTTGTAACAAGATACTGAACACCACATTTGGAGAGACAAACCTATGGGGTAACAGGATTTAAATACTTTTAAGGAACAGAGAATGAAAGCTTTAGGACCTAATGTAAGACAGTACGAAGCTGAAACCTAGAAATTATATGGTTGTCTTTAGAATTTGTGCGTGGGATATCAGTTAACTATTGAACTTGGAGTAGCACTATTACTGGTGTTATGTTATCAGCAGGA